CTGAAGTGACTGTGTTTACACCTTACAAAGATAAGCATTTGTAGATCTGAAATGTCTCATAGTAAATGACGTTGACACCTATGTTGTGACTTTGTGTTCAAATACTCGTAGACTTTGAAATTATTTCTTAAGGAACAGTTTTGTGTTCATGTCTCACGTAAGTGTTTTGTGATAGACTTTCCTAACGCCATAGAGCCAAAGGCTCAGTTTAGATATACTGTAGTGTATTTCGTCTTATAATTGTAATACTAGACTAAATAAATAAGGACTTTTTATATGTTCCACTGTTGTTACACCATATCTTTGAGAACTGTAAGTGGTTTATCTTCAAAAATCTTCATGTTGTGCACTCGGTGTTCTGCTCCTATAACACTCACACCACAAGCATATATATTCCGAGTCCTCTGAGACAGCCGAGTCAGTGTTTGAGGTAAGCCGAGAAGCATCTTTGCCTCTGTTTAGTGAATGTGTTTTAGCTGATATTTTCACGTCCCTCTAGTGCTTGACACAAAACTGTGGAGACTTTAGAATAGGTCATAAATGAACTGTGAAGCTCAGTTATTGACACAACCTCTCTTCATAGTGACAAACGGGGAAGCTTTAAGAGCTCTTTGAACAAGCTGTTGAATAAATATGCTCATTCATTGTTAACGGAGGATGGTGTAGATGGCAGGAACTGAGTTTGAGAACATACGATACATCATGGACAGAGAAATAAAATAACAAGTGTCTTTTTGGTTTGGCGAGAGCCACATTTCTTGCATACACGAATCTCCAAGACAACAAATCCAGCCGAACTCTCAGTAAGGACTCAAATATTTGCATTGCACCGTATAGTGTGTCGTCCCGAAAGAACGGCATCTGAGCCTGGACGGTGGCGGTGCGTGTGAGGACACAGGATCAGCACCTGAAGAACTGTCGTGTGAGTGATGTAATGTTAACAAGTGTATTATAGGGAAGTAGCTTCACTCTCTGATCACAAGCGGTTCCTAGACTTTTTTTTTAAGAATTTAGAACCAGAGGGAGAAGAAATATATATTTTTACATATTACGGGGCAGATTTTAAAATTAGTTTAGGAATCTGTGGTATTGTTGTTTTTACTGTGTACTATTAACTGTATAAAACATATATTCACATGAGAAAATATTATCGAGTGACTCTGTACCACCAAAAAGAACTCTACGACAAGGTCTCTTACTACACACACATTGTTCGTGTTTAACTCACGTACTCTGCATCTTGAACTCCTCTGTATTTGCCGAGGAAGTAAATTACACGTTGTACCCGCGAAAACACATACCTCATTCGTCGGTGAAATCAACCATCACGAAAGCTGTTGCCGCCACGGTGAGAAATTGACCAACGCCAGGAATAAGAGTAAGAAAAAAAAACAAAACAAAAACAACTGAAGAAGGAACAGTATAGCCGAAAAGGAGAGGAGAATCGACGGTGTTTGCAGCGTACCTGGACGAGGAGGAACAAGCCGGAAGATATATAAGAGGCGCTGGCATCCATTTTGGGAAGAACGTCTGGGTGATTACACCACACGAGCGAAATATTCACAGAAGGGTGCTTTTAAATGGATAAATTGCTTCAACATGTACTTTCACTTGTGGTCGTATAACAAAAAGATATTTTTGTTTTCATATCAAAAGTATACACATTAGTACTTATTGATAAGCTCTGGAGAAGGGGACACAGTAAATATACTTTTAAGATAAGCCGAAGGAAGGAAAAATAACCTTGAAATGTTCTTTTTTCTATCTAATCTCAAATAAACTCCACCTTAGAGGAATGAAAATATTTTGATATCACGAATCAACAAACACACGCGATAAAGCAATAGAGCCGGAAATCGACTCACAAAATTTCTCGCAAACCGCACTCTCTCCTTTGTTATTTTGTCAGTGGTGTATGACGCGAATGATTAATCATATTCAGCATTGGTAAAACCCTAAAAAATAATGATAATAAATAAATGAATAAATAATCGCATGTAGTGACACGTATGTAACTGGACTGGTTGATCTTTATGGACACTGACGACAGAAATTCTCCAGAAAACCACTGAACAGTTCGCAGGAAATGTAATAAGACTCAACACCCGCACGTCGGCCTCTTCTACCTACACAAACGTAGTTACCCGTCTAAAAAGAACGGAGAAAACTGTAAACTTAGTTCTGTTCATTGGGAGTAAGACGTTTTAAAAAAACAGAGAAAAAAAAAGAAAAGACATACTAGCCATTTCCCACAACTTCAGCACACACCCAGACAAAAGAGAACAAAGTGGTCCTTGAACGCCCAGAGATAAAGTTCTTGATACCATCAGGAGAGAACCCGAAATGGTCTTCGCTGAAGCTGATTAAGAACTCCAGTGAAGACAGCAGTGATTTACAGATTTACGTAAATAGGCTGCGGTTCCGAGACGACTGGACAGCGCGAAATCTGAGGGAGATCGAGACGTGTTATATCATCTGGTACACTTCAGGTCTGGAATAG